AGCCGCCGGTTCCGCCGCACGGGTCAGGCTGCGGGCCCTTGCCCCGTCCCGGCGCTGCCGGCCTCGGCTCAGTTTCTCCAGGCTCCCAGCAAGCAGCTTTCGGGGCAGTGCTGGTAACTGCTGATGGAGAAAGCTGCTCTGCGCGGTAAACGGCGCTCTTACAAACTGCTGGGGCAGCCTGCGAGCGGTGAGACTCTTACAGCTCGTTGCTAGCCGGTGGCTGGAGAAATTCCTGGTGAAGGTGCTCTGGGCGGCAGGAGCAGCCGTGGGTCTAATGGGGCGTTTGCTCTGCGTGTCCCACTTGTCCCCCGAGCCCCCTCTGAGGCGTGCCTGCGGCGGAGGGACCTGTCCCTGAGCACTTCCCGTGTTAGAGCGTCCTCCTGAGCTGCAGACTCCCGCTTCCCTTCCTTCTCCCTCTCTCCAAAACTCCCTTCAAACTGATTTTCCACCTTTCTATCTCTAAAATCAGGAGGTAGTTCAGAAAGGGTTGGAATGAAATCCCTCCCCTTTTGGGGGCGACTTCTGTTAAGAAGTTCAAAAGTTTAGGCTTCCAGAACTGACTTGGAAGTGATTAATATGGTGAGTGTTTCCATTCCGATGCAGATTTGTGATTTAATAATTACTTTTGAATCCATATAAATATCCTATTTCTTTAGCTCTGTGATCATCGTTACCTCTCGACTCCTTACAAAGCTTGACTTCATGCTGTGCTTTGAATGGAAAATTTTGTATTCTGAAAAATCATTTCAGGCATGCTCCTCTTAGCAAGTAAAACAAATGTATGGGTCTGTGTGAAAGGCAAGACAGGGTAGGGAAAATCTTCTTAATAAAAAAAAAGTCATTTTGTGCACCTTGGAATTTTTTGGTGGTACATAGTCCCTGTTTACAGCATGGACACGGTAGGTGGCAATAGCAAGATAAGCTTATCAATGAGGCACACAGCAAAGGCGAGCCTGTGGTGTCTGCAGATACCTACGCAGGAATTGGATATGCTGATGAAATACAAGGTACTGGGGGTGTTGCTTCTGGAGTGGAGGAAAGAGAAACTTTAGGACTGGAGCTCTTCCCAGACCTGTAAATGCATAGAATCGTTTAGGCTTGAAAAGACCTTTAAGATCATCAAGTCCAACCATTAACCTAACACTACCAAGTCCACCACTAAACCAGTTAAGGGGAGAGTAATAATTAATTTCATGTTTCTTGGCTTGGTGGCTGGATTATTTTTCAATGAAAGTAAAACTAGGAATCACTAAGGTTGAAAAGGATCTTAAGATCATCAGTCCAACTGTCAACCCAACACCACCATGCCCACTAAACCATGTCCCAAAGTGCCATGTCTACACGTTTTTGAACACCTCCAGGGATGGTGACTCCACCACTTCCCTGGGCAGCCTGTTCCAATGCATGAACATCCTTTCCGTGAAGAAAATTTTCCTAATATCACTCTTTCAATAGAGAAATTTCTCCTAATATCCAATCTAAACCTCCCCTGACACAACTTGAGGCCATATCCTCTCATCCTATTGCTTGTTACTTAGGAAAACAGACCAACACCCACCTCACTACAACCTCCTTTCAGGTAGTTGTAGAGAGCGATAAGGTCTCCCCTGAGCTTCCTTTTCTCCAGACTAAACGATCCCAGTTCCCTCAGCCACTCCCCATCAGCCCTGTGCTCCAGACCCTTCACCAGCTTCGTTGCCCTTCTGTGGACATGCTCCAGCACCTCAATGTCCTTCTTGTAGCGAGGTGCCCAAAACTGGACACAGTATTCCAGGTGTGGCCTCATCAGTGCCGAGTACAGGGGGACAATCACTTCCTTGCTCCTGCTGGCCACACTATTCCTGATACAAGCCAGGATGCTATTGGCCGCCTTGGCCACCTGGGCACAGTGATGGCTCATGTTCAGCTGGCTGTCGTCCAACACCCCCAGCTACTCTTCCCCAAGCCTGTAGCATTGCATGGGGTTGTTGTGACCGAAGTGCAGGACCCGACACTTGGCCTTGTTGAACCTCATACATCACGCAGTGAACGAAGGCGAAGTAACTTCAGGAAGTTGGAGGCTGGATTTAGCCAAAGAAATGGGTCCAGGTGGCCGTGAGACATGTATTGGGGCAGCCTGTGTTGCTGTGGCTTTGCCGCTATTTTATAAATTGAAGCTGGCTAGATGGAAATTAGCTCAGACTTCTCATTCTCATGCTTTTATATAGAAGGACTATTGAGCTGGCTGAAAAACACCGAGGTGTCTTTTTATTTTGCTTTTTGCATCTTGTACAATGACCCTAAGTTAGGGTAGATGGACAGACTAGGTAGGATGCAAGGAACCTTTTCAAGTCCAGTCTTCTGATTCTGCTCGGAAACAAGTCTCTTCTTCGTTTTGTCTTTCAGTTGCTTCAAATTGCCACATGAGAAGAAGAACCAAGTCTAGGAGAAGGGTCTTTGCTTAAAGTTGTTACTGGAAAAATTGGCTAACACTTACTGAACTGCAAGTCCACTATAGCAATGGTAGTCCAGAAAGCTGGAGGCAGCAATTATATATCCTGTTGCTTTCTTTGCAGGCTACACAAATAGATCTCCTGGGCTTTCCTGCCCTGTGCTGTGTTCCAACCCGCTGACTGACTCTCCTGCTGATAGGCCTCTGAAAACCTGAAACATTTCACTCTTGTTTTAACTTTCTTATTGTAAATTGCTGTTTTTATTGAATATCTTTGTCTGTCTTACCTCCTGCAAGTTATACCGTTCACTTTTCAGATCATGATTTGTTATTTCATACTGTTATCATCAAAATACTACCTCTTTTAGTAGAAGATACTTCACGATGTATGCCATGATTTGCCTAGCAGTGGAACAAATAGATTGGTAGAGCAGAATAGTATAATTTCTTGATCTATCTTGAGCTACAGTGTAAGAACTTGAAGGCTACAGGTGTAAGAATGACTGAACTGATACTATGAACCAGTTGGGAGCTTTCCTTTGAATGTAAGGTAGAATCCCATCTGTTAAGTCAGGAGATTAGGTAGTGCAGGACTCGCACTCTGTATTTATCAGCTTCTGAATTATATTATAGTAAATGATGTCATTACAGCTCTATTTTAACCTTTAATGGAGGTTCTGTCTAGAGCAAAAACCCTTTGAAGACCTATATTGTATGCATATCTTTTGATAATCCTCAATTAAAAAGTATTACAGGCACTTCCAGCTACCTATTGGGTGGAACATAAAAGCTTTAGAAACAAACAATACAATGTAAGAGTTTGTGGTCCTAAAGCTGTTACTCTCTTTGGAAGTGTGAAACTGCAGTCTGTCCTCACTAAAGTACAAAGCACACAGTTCTATGCAAAATCTTGAGGAAAGATCTGATAGCTTAAATGAGAAAATCACTACTTGGCTTTCTTCTATCAAACAGATTAAGAGGAAGCTAAAGGATGCAAAGAAATGGTGAGTGTGCTGATGAACAGCTAGCTTTGCATGTTGACTGCAGAATTAAAGTTTTGGGTGAGCTTGGTTTGTTACCTCTCAAGATGCAGTCATAATCAAAGTTCAGGAAAAGAATACCAAGACGTCTGTTCTTCAGTGGAAGAGCAGCTCAATGACATGAGAAAGTAAGACTTTTTTTCTGAATTACTAGAAGAGCAAGGAGAATTGTGGTAGTAGTGACCTGGAATGAAATAGCCTTTAAGCTAAATCAACTATTTTTGAAGTACAAGTGTAGTGCTTGGGCATGTGCTGTTGGGTCTCAGCTCAATTTCAGGTGTGGTATTTTCAAAATTAGTTTTTCTTGTGAAAATCAAAATGTTGATGCCTTTGACAAAGATGACATGAGTGCATGGGGCTGTGCAGGTGCTGAACAGTTCAGGTTTGAAGCTAGGAATTGATGCTTCAGTGAAGCCACAGTGAAGATGAGTAGCTTAAGCTTCTTCTTCCCATTATTATCTTCTGGTACATCAAATCTTCATCTTCTAGGGCTGATTTGTGAAGGGGAGGGGAAGAAGAAAAATCAACCATTCACTAACAGAATGTTGTATAATCCTTCCCTCCCTTTCCTTGGGAATGCTTGAATTTGACTCCTATGCTGTATATTCAAAATACTCTCATTGTTTTAATTTAGTCCTGAACTGGCACTAACAATAGAACAAACTTTGCTCTATAGGCACAGATGGAGTTTCCATATGTTGAGAGAAACATGAAAAGCATTAACATAGGAGATATCCTGCACCCCACCCCTGCACAGACAGCTTTCAGAAAGAAAATAGCTGATAAGTGTTCAAGGCAGATATAGTGCATTGTATATAAGCATGACCATTATAAAGCATTCTTGTATCACAGCCTGAAGTATAAGCATACCTGACTTGCTGGAAGGCTTATTCCAGATCATGCAGTACTTGGTAACCTCCTGGAAATGGCTAAGATTCTTAAACACATTATATAGGGTCTGGAGACCTTGCCACGGCAGTTGAATGCTTCTGGTAAGCTTCAGCATGGGCAGGATTTAGTCCACACTGACGAATGGAGATGAAAAGGAGCGCGCGTGTGTGTGTGTGAAGAAACATGGTCCCTTTGGAAGTCCTTATGAACTAAAAGGGTACTGGTGTAAGGGAAGGAACAACCATTGTGCTGGGCAGCTCAGCCTGTCTGGGTTTAAACTTTCATGTATAGATCAAAAAGTCAAGAGGTTAAAGACTGAATTTTGCATTGTTTTTTGAACACTTGCTTTCACAGCTCTTGAGCAAATTTGGAGTGTGTGCCCCACCTAACTTCCTTCAGCTGTTCTCCCTGCTGCAGAGTACTTCCCTTTCCTGTGTGACTTTTCCTCTCCCTACTCTGTTTCCACAGCAATCAGGACTTTATGAGTATAAAGTCTTCGGTGGTCTTGCTGACTGTCCCCCAAAACTGTTCGTGGATGTCTATATGGATTTAAAATTCAGAAAACAATGGGATCCGTACGTTAAAGGTAGGTTCATCTAGGCAGTTTAAAAGCAAGCTTTATGTCCACATTGACTCTTCCCACTAAAACTTTGTTTAAAGGTATTTTAAAGTTGCTGCATCCAAAGACTTTCAGCCAGACTTAAGTATCTCTTGGGATAAGGTTGCACGCTACAAATATGCAAGTAAACACTGACATGGAACAGCTAACATCTGATCACTCTATAGCTTCCTTCTGGAAAAAAATTCTTTCCATGTAAGTTAAAGCACGTAATTGGCATCACTTGTTATGCTGGAGCACCTTGCAGCTTCTAGTTGTTGAAATTCCTAGGTTAAATTTTAGTAGGTGTTCTGGGGAGAAATGGGGATGGTACCTTTTGTGCATCTTCGCATATTGCAGTGGAACGGTGCCATAGCTTGCACCTGTTTGATGCGTGATGGAATGTCCTTTCCTGAAAGCATTGGTTGTTCTTGGCACCTTTTACAATCAGAAATAGGTGTCTCGAGAGAATAGGTGGTGACATTGGGCTTTTACAGAGAAAGGAATAACTAATTTGTGTTAATTTAATGTTGTCTTTGAAAAAGGGAGTTGAACGTGGATGTCCATGTGATGTTAAAATATCTTAAGTCAGCGGTGACAAGGCAAAGATTTAGCTGATGTAGGCATCCAGTAATCCATTTATTTTAAAGATGAGGAACCCTTCCCTTTTAAGCCTGTGCTTAAAATCAGTTCAAGCCAATGAAACTGAAATGTGGTCAAAGGGTTTTGCTGAACAAAGAACAGTGTTAAAAACCAAAGAATTGTTAAACATTGTGCTTGTTGAGTCTAGGACACCTCTATGGTGAATGATTACTGGTAATGCCTTTGGCTGGATTGGTACAGAGAACCACCTACTTGACTCATGTCAGTACTTCGGTCAAGCTTAAGAAGCTACATCTTCATTACTAAGTGTTATTTGTCAAAACGGGCAATAGCTTTCTTGTAGCAAAAGCCACGTTGCCGTTAATGAAAGGAAAAGAGCTAGAGTGGGACTCAACATTGTTGTATTGGATGTAAAAATACTACGTTATCTTAAGTTCAGTAGTCTTTGATTTAAGTGCATTTAGGAGAGCTGAATCATTCTTACACAAACACTTCTTTCTTTTGGTAATGCCTTCTTAGAGAAAAGAAAGGAAGCAGTTGGGGGAAGCTACACACTTAAACTAAAAACTAGATCATGTTGCAGAGCTGGCGTTTATATCCTTGCTGACCATGATATGTTCATCTGTGAATCTATACATGTGCTGGTACTTCAAGTCTGGCATTTCACGGAAGTTAACTCTTGAAGGGCATAAACATAATGTTAACACTTGCCTTAACCCATACTTGTTGAACTGTATATATGGTCGTAGAATCATAGAATCGTTTAGGTTGGAAAAGACCTTTAAGATCATCAAGTCCAACTGTTAACCTAGCACTGCAAAGTCCACCACTAAACCATATCTCTAAGCACCACATCTACAGGTCTTTTAAATACTTCCAGGGGTGGTGACTCCACCACCTTTCTGGGCAGCCTGTTCCAGTGCTTGGCAAGCCTTTCCATAAAGAAATTTTTCCTAATATCCAATCTAAACCTCCCCTTGCGCAACTTGAGGCCATTTCCTCTCGTCCTGTCGCTTACTACTTGGGAGAAGAGACCAACACCCACTTTACTACAGCCTCCTTTCAGATAGTTGTAGAGAGCGATAAGGTTTCCCCTGAGCCTCCTCTTCTCCAGGCTAAACAACCCCAGCTCCCTCAGCTGCTCCCCATCAGACTTGTGCTCCAGACCCTTCACCAGCTTCGTGATGAAATAGTGCTAGCCAACATTCTCAATGTAAACTACAGAATTTTGGGTTTTCTCCTTTCACATTTAGGGAGAAAAAACAGAAAACTTCCATTCAGAGCCTTCTTGCTATTTGTTCTACTGTTTCTATTCCTTGCTGCTCTTACAGCTATGCAATAATGGCAGTCCGAAGAAGAGTTCTCTACTGAACTGCTGACTGGCATGGAAATAAAAATGTGACCAGAGTAGAAGCAGCTGCCTTTTTAGTTGAAAAGGTAACTGCTCCTGCACTAAGCATAAGAGGAGCTAGTCTCTATCCTCTAGTTCTATTCAGCAGAACTCTTCCTGAAGGTCTGGCCAGAGGCAGATATGGACAGGATTCCTTTGAGTACTTCAGAGGGTTGTGGTTTGATCTGTTCTTGCCAAGGGTTTGCCTGAGGCCTCAGAAATGTTGGTATCGGTCTGCTGCTGTTGTTGCATTGCTGTTAGTACCCTGGCTATTTCCAAAGCAGGCTCCTGCATATCTACACGATATGGACATCCTGAGGCCTGGTCTGTGCTGCAGCTGCCAATTCAGCAGGGAAGCTATGACGAAACTGTAGAGTAGCGACTGAGGTACCACATGCTTCTGTGGCATGATACAAAATGGTTGGGCTTGAGCAATATTCAAACTTGCTACTCGTGATTGCAATGCCATCCTGATTGAGATCATACTTCCCAGCAATTTAATGGTAATAATTGCTAAAGCAGCAAATGCAGCTGTGCCTATTATGAATAAAATGGACTTGTGATCTGTTGTAGTAATGCAAAGTGGAATCTGGTTATTGATTAAAATGCATTGTATTCTGCTTTGACCAGAAGCTGTCCACTAGTACTGACAGACTAAAGTGAATACAGTAGGGAGATGACTTAGCTATTGTGTGTTTTTTCTGTGTTTGCAAAGATACAAAGGTAGATGAGTTAGTAGCTAAAAATTGCATCGAGGTCTTTAAAATAGTGTCTTAATCCCTTTGAAAAAAGACGGCTCTGCAGTTAGAAATGAAAGTACAGCTAATAAGCTGATGCTTCAGTGACCTCTGGTGGATAGCATGATGCTGTAGCTTATGACAACGCTGGGAGTATTGTGCGTCCAGTACTGCTCCGACCTGGAGAAGAGGAGAAGCTGGTTTTGTGGGTGACAGCTGACTTGCAGGGCATATTAACAGAAGCCTAGTTTGGAACATGTTATAAAGGGAAAGAATCTCCCATCTGTGGCACTCTTCTTGCCTTAGCAATGAGATTATCAGTCTGTTCTAGCCTTATTTTCAAAACCACTGAAAATGTTGTGGCAGACTGTGCGCATTAGCTCTGAAGGATATATAGCACCTCAGGCAGAAGTCTGCTCTAAAGGAGGAAAAGACCACTCTGACTGTGAATGTGAATACCTTTCTGGATATTAACTGCACCCGTGTAATGACCAGTCCCTGAGCAGACAGGAACTTACCCTGGCTCAGCCCCGTGGTTTGTCAGGTCCATTAGCCTGATAACAGCAGTTGCTGCCTCAAGGGAAGAAGCTGTACAGTAGACATTTTTTCAGACTCAATTATGTAGTTTGATTTGAACTAATTTTTCTCCTTCATGCCACACTACTCTCTGACTGAGTGACTGCCATGTTTTAGGGACTGTTCTTAGGTATTTTTTTTTCCTATTCAGCCGCCTTCTGATTGAGTTTCCAGGCAGATTGAAGGTGGTGTAATGGAGGCTCATAAACTGCTCAAGCTTCTTGTTCACTGTTGCCTGTATATACTGCTGTGAATTTCCTAATAGCTTTTCCAAACCTCATTAATCCCTCATGTAAGACCTCTTCAGGTATTAGAAGCCTTACCCGTCCTAGTTCCACGTTGACTGAGAATCATTTACAAGAATAATGACATGCTTGTGAAAAAGCATACTGTACTTGTGGCTCAGAATCATACAAAATATGCATTAGACGAGGAAAAAGCTTTGAGTTGGAAAGGCTTCGAATAAGCCAACTGTCTGAAAAGAAATCCCCACAGAATTGTTCTGGTTTTGTGTTTTATTTTTGGGGTTTGGGGTTTTTTTTAATCAATGAGTTCAACAGCAGCAGAAAAACAGGCCACCTATTTTGATGTATTTGGTTCCTGAACAACGCTGCTGCAGAACTTTTTTTAATGACTTCTACTGCTACAACTTTACATACATATTAATTTTGAAATAAGGGTTGTGCATAAAATGTGTTCATGTCAGAAATCTGAGCAGTTCTTGATGCCATGTATGGTTCTGTTGTAGTAGAAATTAAAAATAATCGAACAATCTTCCTTTTTCAACTGTAGAACTATATGAGAAAACATGTGATGGTGAAAGAGTGATCTACTGGGAAGTGAACTACCCTTTTCCTTTCTCAAACAGAGATGTATCCTTTTAAGCTTTTTATTCCTCTTGCAGTTTTTGTCACCTGGTCATCCAGGGATCCCCACAATGTACTGATTCTACTGCTCTGCTGCACTTGATCTAAGATCTTGCAGTCCTGATGTTACATGAATATGTATAGCATGAAGAAGAGTGTGGGTGCCTCTTCCCACACACAACTACAGCTCACATAGCTGAATTATTACTCTGCAGGATTGAATCCTGTAGAGGCATAAGAAAGAACTTGAAGGGGCTGGTATTTGTAATGGAATTCATTTGCCAATTCATCGTATGTCAAACTGACACTGTTTTGAAATGCCTCCTCAACTTGCAATACAGTATGTCTATGTTCGTGAATGTCGAGAGATGGCTGTTGATGGACGGAAGATCTGGGTTGTGTTAGCTGAAAACGTGTCTGTTCCTCAGTTCCCTGAAAAGCCTGGAATTACCAGAGTTAAAAGCTATAAACAAAGTCTGGCAATTGAAAGTGATGGCAAGACTGGATCGAAAGGTAAGAGGTCAAGAAGGTGTGATCACAAGTCATGTAGCCAAGGAATGTATGTACTGGCAAAATGCACAAAGAGGGAGACTGGAAGTGTTAAGCTAAAACCAGTTACTATAAAGCGGATGTACTGAGCACTAGGAGTACTTTAAAATGAATGAAACTTTTGGCAATGTCCAGGGCAGTGTGCTACTGTTAAGACTCTTTTATTTAACATAATAAAAGAAGAGGCTACTGACCACTTCGTTCCTGCCCCCCCATCCCATCCACCCTCCCTCAGCCCACGCTTCTTTTCCTGTCACCCAGTTCAGTTGGGTAGAGTCTTATGCTAGCTGCAATCTGGTTAACTCGGCAATGATATAAGTATCATGTTTGACAGATTTATAGATTAAAGGGTTTGCCTAGAGATTGACTCCCCTGTCTGAGATGAGTCCTTTAAGGACAACCTTATTTTATACAACAGGCTGCCTAAAATGGTTTGCAATAGTCTAAATTAATATTACAGTGCACTCAGCTTCCCAGAGGTTAACTGGGAATGGCTATACTTACTTCACATTCCACTTCAGTACAAGTTGACTTTTTTGTGAAGAATTTAGAGCATTTAGAACTGTTGTACTTGGTGATTCAATCATGCACACTGACAGCTTCTGTCACATGGTGTTAGGGCTAATGTTCAGACTATGGCTGGATAACTTTCTGGTAACTGCTCTCTTGTCTCTAGTCTATATGTACTATTTTGATAATCCTGGTGGCAACATTCCATCATGGCTGATCAACTGGGCTGCCCAGGTAAGTAAAGGTTGACAGCACAATTGTCTTTGGCTAATCTGTTTCAAACAATGTATTCACTGCATGCATACCTGTCTTCTGCATGTTGGGTAGAATTATTTTTTTTCCGAAACAGATGTATTGACCTTCCTCGCTCTTATGCAGTCCCATTTTTAGTCTCGCTATTGTCTGCTCTCGTGGAAGTTTGTCTTAATTTTTTTTTTTTATTCCTCTGGTTAGTCAACCAGATTTGCGCAACAAAACCAACGAATCCATGTTCCAGAGCATATGTGAATAGCCCCAAGCAAACTTCAATAATGCAATCTGTTTGTGAAGGATTAAAAGAATGGTCTGATGCTTTGTACAAGACCTTAGAATCGTCCTGTATTTGTTTGAAGGCCTTGATCTGTATAGTGGGAATTCTCATCTTGCTTATAGTTTTTCTTGATTACGATATGCAAGAACGACTTTTCCATTTTTCTCTTTACAGAGTGGCGTGCCTGCTTTCTTGAAGGATATGCAAGAAGCTGGCCGTAATTATTCTAGGAGCATGTAGGTCAAAGTTGATCTGAATTGTTTAATTCCTAGAGCTTTGCACTTACAGGAGTGGCTGTTATATATTACACTGGACAGAATCTGCCTCTAACATTGGAAAGAATTTTTTGGGGGTTGTTATATGCCTTGAATTTTATTAGATCTTTGTTTGCATCTCCAGCTGAAGAGCTAGTCACTGACAAGGTAACACCAACATCAGCTGCATCCTTTTGAAAGTACTTAAGTTTAGCCTTGTCCCCCATGCTTTGCCTATGCTGATTGTCATGTGTCAGCTAGAGGAGTTCTGTTGATTGAAATACTACATCCTCTGACAAGACACAACTTTCTTGCTAGGAAAAATGTCCGAACTTGGACTGAAAATTCTCTGCATGTGTTATGCCTGGATCTGCCTCTGTGGCCTTGCAGGGTGGCTTCCTATTGAAATTGAGTAATGGAACTTGCGTTGCTTAGGAGAAAACACTTTTGCTACCCAAGTGTGTCATTCTTCAACTGCCTGCCTGCTATAAACCTAAAAAAATGCTGAGGGCTTATAGGTAAATTACTAGAAGCCTGCAGTAGGAACTGGAACTCTCTGTTACTAAGCTTCCTTGTGATGGCTTTAAGTCCAGATATAAAAGGGCTCGTGCCTAAAGCCTTGCATTCACATCTGAATACCCCTGTATAAAAAGTAAAACCTGTTAGCTGTGTCCAGCTAGAAAAACAGGAGTTGGCTTCCATGTCTGATTTAAGGGGGACAAATTACAGCTTCAGAGTCAGTAGCCTTATCTATAAAGCAGCTTGGATACCAACTTTAAATTGGAACTAATTTTAAACTGGATGCCTGCAACTGAATGTGAATGAACTTGATGTGAAATGTGCGCTTACTTGCATTTTTAAATTTCATGCTGAGGTAAAGAATGAAACTGTAATTTTGGATGGTAATCCACTAAAAGCACAACCAAGCAGGAAATTAAGCTTCCAGCACCTTTGGGGGGGGGGTAGGGCGGGGCAGGGGGTGGGGATGGAGTGCATAAAAGGTGAGAGGGCCTCAGTCTCAGGGATTTAAAATATTCTGCCTCATAACTAAATCTGGAGAGGGCCTCCATCTCAGGGATTTAAAATATTCTGCCTCATAACTAAATCTATTCCTGTTACTGAAAAAACTTGCAGTGGGGTAGCTTTGTCTTGTTAAAAAAGAAGTGGTTGAAGTGATTGCCTTTATACTTTGTGTAAATGTTTGTTTCCAATAAATCATTATTTTATCTATGCAGTGCTCTTGTTCTGTCTCTCACGTTTAAGAGTGGCCATGCTGGGCAGGTCACAAATGACAGGCTGATATAATGGGCTGTTTTATTTTTAAAGGCTTTTGAAAGAATAACTTGGATTCATGAGAACCAAGTAGGATTCCATGTGTTCTGAAGAGCTTGCTGCCAGCAGTTTAGGCATTTTTCAAGTGTCTTTGACCCGGAGACCATTACTGAATTGAATAGTACAGTGCTAGACAACTTTCAATCCATTTTAAATTTAGCTGTCACCTTTTTTTTTTCCCCCAGCAGATAAAGAACAGACATCAAGAGAGAATAGTTCTGAAGCATAATTCTCTTAACTTTCCATAATTTTTGTACCCATGCGCTTACTGGAACTGGAGCCAAGTTTTTATTTATGTGTACTGAAAATGAATTATTTCCATCATACCAAGAGTATGATGGTGTTTTACCTGAGTATATAAATTTCTCAAATCTCTTTTTTTTTGGCAGTGTTTAAAAGAATTACCTTGAGAATTTAGAAAGCATTTTAGCAGTGTGCTAGGTATGTAGGAATTAAAATGTCATAAGCAATCACAAGAATACCGGAGTTGCTTTTGAACAAGAGGATGTGGATACAAGTTATGTCCTGAAGCAAAGCAGCAAAGGCAGGACTAGGTAGATTGTTCAAAAAGAAGATAGAAAGCAAACCAAACTATTCTAGACTTGATATAACAGAATTTAAAAAGTGCACTAGATGAGGACGAATCTTCCTGGAACAATGATGCAAAGTAATTGATTTCCAACTCCTTCTGAACAAAACTGACCTCTGTATCACAGTAGTACAAAACCTATCTGTAATTGTAAACCTACCTTAAAACTTAGAGTTTCAAGGTTTACAATAAATGTGTACCTAGTGAGCTGAGTATGTGCACAGAGGTGAATCAGGTATAGAAGAGGCAATCCTTTTTTCATGCTTTTTCTCCAACCAATCTGTAATTTTGTTTAGTCTTTAATGAAGTGAAAGCAGGAGGAAGAGTGAAAGCATTTTATATTCATAAATTCATGATTGCATCTTTGTCATTATAGTTAACTTGTCATCAAGACATAGTATACATCTGTCTGCAGTGGGCTGAAACAGTAAGACTGAACACTCAAGAGGCTGAATGGCTCCATTGTTAATCTTGCTGAAAACTTGATTTCCTACAGACCCCACACCGAGAGCGTAGAATACATGGTCTTTGCTCACGTATCCTTATTAAAACCAGTGGACAGTCAGTTTCTTGTGCTGTACACAACTTCCCAAATTAAAACACATTTTATTAAACAGTAGCTAGTGAAAACAGCTTTTCCTCTATTTGCAAGCAACTAACCAATGATGTGAGATGAATGCAACATCAGATCTTCTGTTAAATTTAGGTCCCTATGGGCTCTCATAGAGACCTAAATACGCAGTGACACTTCAGTTTATCTAAGTATGTGTTACTACACCTATCTTATATTAATTACTAGGGAAGAAAAAGCAGTTCCAGCTTTATGTGATGTGGCTTCTTGTCTGAATGGGAGATTATGACCAGAAAGAAAGGGTTGGGATTTTTCGGTCTTTGGATGTAAAGACATTTGTAAAGCATTTTAGAGCTTTATTCATGACTGATTAAATATTGATCTTGTATAAATTGTACATGCGTCATATGAACTTTTCTGGATAGCTTGAACAGAAATTTACCTGCTGTGAAAGTTGTAAGTCATTATGAAATCTGGTGCACAGGGTTAAAAAAATGGAACCCCCCTTCCCATGCTCCTTGTTATGTAGCACCTGCAAGTTAGCTTTCTGTTTCCATCAGCTTGCCTAAAGATGGAGCTCCAAGTTTGTTCTTTTAGAGTGATCTGTTGTAAACATAGGGTTGAGTAAAAAGAATGAAGCATTTCTATTAGGTGATGATTGAGCCTCTCTTCTGTATCCCACCCCCATTAACAGATTGGTAGGTATCACACTCAACAGATTAACAGGGACTAATGAAGTTTTCCTAGTAGCCAAACAGAACTAGAAAAATGCTGCAGTTTCTGGCAATAAACAGGCATCTGATCCAAAGCGCAATAATCAGACTTTCCGTAAATCACAGTGAGCTTTGGATCTATTCTCGTATAGAACTTTTGTTTTAAAATTACCAGCTCTTACAAAAACATTTTTGCATGTTGTTCTTCACATAAAGAAGTGGTTCTTTTGGGGGATGACTGGTCACCCATCCCCTGTTGCCAAAAGGAGTGATGTTGTAACAAAGTGAATATAAACCATTCTCCCATGTTGTGTTCTAGCCATTCAAATCCATTCTTTCCATTCTTTCCATGTGATCTCTCTGTAAAACTATTGTGTTTGAGTTGGAAGGTAAAGTAAAGGAAAGATTCTGAGTAACCCAAAGTCAACATAGTGAATGATGTCAGATACGCAATCACGGTAGTGCTGCCCCTCAGAAGATGATGTGTAAAGGGAAACGCAAGTTGTCTTTGCTCAGGAAACATCTGGTTGAAACTTCATTTCTCAAGCAGGTCATTGGCTGTTTTTATAATTTAGTGGAACAAAAATGTGGGAAGATAGGGGGATAGACTTCTGATATTAATACACACTAGTAGATGATAGATCTTCCCATGAACACTTTTGCTTTCCATTATGTAGTTTTCTATGTATAAAGAACATTTTCAAATGGGATCTAATGGTATTTAAATTTCACTTAGCTGAGCATAATCTCTCCCTGAGTACGGATTTGCCTTCCTCTAGACAGGAGGATAATTCATAACCAAATTTACCGCCCCACTGTAGTCTCCTGATCAGAGGAGACTACTAGACTTTCAGACAGAAAACTTAGTTTTTCACACATCTCTTCAAGCTTAAAAGACACTGAAAACTTCTGTACAAAATCGGAAAGGAAGGCTTATGCAGGAGGTAAGTTGTTTTAAATCTAGATGGACTATATGGAAGATAAATGCTTTTTGCAGAGCAATAACAAGAACAAATCTCTGTAGCAAGATGAGTTTTGCTGAATTTTTTTCATACCTCTCTGGCTTATAAGTGCAGACTTAGGAGGAATCTGGACCAATAAGGTAAATAAAGCGGGTGTTTAAGCATCCTACTAATTCTTCTCTGCAGCTGCCAATTACCATATTAACTAGGATTACATATGAACACAGATGCGCACATGAAGAGAACGTCATCTTTCTCTGTTAGTTTAGTATTCCCTGTTCTTTGAGAACTTGACCATAAACAATTATTCTCATCTGGCATCTGAATTACGAAAGTATCCTGGAGTCCTGCTGTGAGACAGGAACATTTTAAATGGGAACAACTTTCCACTGGAAACCTTAATTTCCAAAGTAAGAACAACTGCATCCTGTGAACAAGTGTTTCAGTGGAACATGCCATAATAAGCAATTATGTTAAAGGCCCTTGAATATAGGTATTAATTTTAGCCTTGTGAAAAATTCACTGCATCCCAGCTGTACAACTAGTTCAACTGAAAGCTGTTCTACAGTTTAAGCACGAAGAGCTGTAACATTAAGATATAAGTGAGTTTGCCTTTGTCTGTCCTCACTGGATTTCGTGCAGATTTTTAGATTTTTCTAAGGCCTGTTTCATCACTGGAGGTAGGAGACGTTCTATTATGGGCTTTGTGACACTGGAAGAGTCAGGTTTTGCCCCAAGCTGAATTCTCTTACTATTCTTCATCTATGGAAGAAACTCCTGAGAATGAAATCACTTTAATAGATTGTGTTGTTCCTAGAATGGCAAGTTTTGGACTGTAGCAGTTCTTCCGTAATATGGAAGGCCAAGGATTACTTATGCGCTGTACATACTTTCAATAGATGCCTGCTG